CAAAAGGATACCTGCACCCCTATGTTTACTGCAACACTGTTTACAATAGGCAAGATACGGAAACAACCCAAATGCCCAAAAATAGATGAGTAGCTCAAAAAGATGTGGTCCAGATACACAATGGAATATTACTCAGCAATCAAAAAAGATAAACTCAGGTCATTCACAGCAACATGGATGGAGCTGGAAGGGATCATGCTCAGAGAAATAAGCCAGAAAGAAAAAAAAAAGTATCAGAAGATTTCACTTATTAGAAATTGACAATTATTTCATGGCTGCCCAAAGAAGACTGAAATAATGTGATAACAACATTGATAAATAGCAACTACTACCACAGACTTCGGTTATCTCTTACAAGTGGCAAGTGAAATCAGCAAGCAAGAAATAACTCTTTAATAACTCCTGAAATACCGCATTCAAAAAAATTACCCTGTGAGAGGTACTGAGTCAAAAGAGAGTGTTCTTCATTTCATGGTCCACATGAAAGCACTACGGAAGAGTGGCCAGGCTTCTGCTAACACCTGCCACAGACAGGGACACAGTGTTCTCCTAGCGGGGGCACGCACTTGAAGGGACCTGGCTGGCAGGTTTGGTCTCAGGAGAAGAAAGAGACCACGATTTAATGGTTGATATTTTTCCCAGTGTGTTTCTTTGATCTGAAAGCGCCTGTGAGCAGCACCGCCTGTGCTCAAAAGAAACTGGATGAAAGGGGGGCTGTCCTGTCAGTGTGACTTTCTTTGGGGAGCCCCACCACCCGGACTCCAGATGACCCCAAGAGTCTCGGGTCTCTCGAGACTACGCGGAAATCTCCCAAGGACAAAAAGGGGCTCCAGTGTCCTTAGATGACTTTAGCGGCCCTGAACCACCAACGGGACAACAGCTGGCAAGGAAAACTCTCCGTGTTTAATGCTTATTCCAGCTGGTGGGCAACGCGGAGATGAAACAACCCAAGGTTGTGATGTGGACATTCTACATGCGTGATGCCCACTCAAAAATGTCGTCTCTTGGTCAATGCTTTGGCAGAGATTCTCAAATGCAGTCACTCGTGCACAGGAGCACTGTTTGACACACACTGTGCCGGCCGTCGCCTCTGTGGGAAGCAGGAAGCTCTGGAAACCTCCTTTATAGTTGCGATTTCTATCATTAACAGTATTGGCAGAGTAAGTTGTCAAACCCACCCTCTGGCTCATGCTAATAAGACACTATGGACAAAAGAGTAAAAGTTCTGGAGAGCCGCCGAAAGGAGACAGAAACTGGAAGGGATGCACTGTCTCAAAAACAAGAAAGCCAATGATATGAAAGAAACCTGCATCCTCAGCTCGTCCTCCTATGGTTTTCCTCAGCCCATGTCCAGGAGGCGCAGGAGGAACCAAACACAAGCAGCAAGTGTTAGTCCTGCTGGGCTGAGGAGTCAATGGCCTGGGGGGCTGTCAAAGCAGCCAGGATATGAGGAGAAAGCCTGGACAGGCAGAACCATGGGAGGAAGTCCTGAAATATGCATCCACGTCTCTCAAATTCTTGAACAACTCTTGATTGCATGAACAGATGACACTTAAGGGTTATGGGGAAGTTAAGAGCTGGAAGCTGGGAGGCTGAGTGTGACTCTGGGAATCAGGGGTCTAAATTCAAGTTCTACCAAATCCGAGGGGCTTAGTATGCACTGCAGAATTTAGTAAACAGTTCACACTTTGCACTGAGCTCCCCAAGAGGTTACACCTCAGGAGTAAGGACCACAACCCATGACTGAGGCTGAGACTGTCAGACCAGGGCCAAGCAGAACGCCCCCATGGGATCAAAATGATCTTGCAGTGAGTGACCACCTGCCAGACCAAAACTCAACATTCTCTAGGAGACTATCAACTTTAATAAACCGTCCACAATGTCCAGTCAGTAATAAAAACTACCATAAATGTAAATTAGAGGGAAATTGTACCCATAGTCAAGAGAAAGAGCAGTTGATAGAGACGTACCCGAAAGACAGTCCAGGCGTAAGGACTTGCCAGGCAAGGAATTTAAAAAACTGATTTAAAAAAGTCCTTGCAGTGCACATTTGCTGAATTTTACAAATCATAACCTCACCCAGCCAAGCATCCCAGTGAACTTGAGTTGCCCATGATTTTTAATCAAATCGGGATTTGGAATGGTTTATATTTGAAAGCCTGAGACAAACAACTTGAAAGTGATTAATGACATCCAAACTTAATTATATATTTACACCTCCCAGTAGGACAAGGGAGAGAATAAAATGTCTTATCTCTCTGTTGTGAGAGGGCTTTATTAAGATCTGACAACAACCATTTAGGAGCAATAATGGAGTTTTATGCAAGATTACACAGGTTCTCCTCCTCTGGCACCCCAATCTAATCACAGGCTGATAGAGTGAGGACTTAGTCTCCTAACGGTGGGAAAAAAGCAGCTGAGTTGCGTACAAAACTTACGTTTAAAAGTACTTAGCCTCTTCTGTCAATGCGATCTTATCAAGGATTTCTATAATTTCTATAAACAATCATTATATTTTAGCTGAATCAGTAGCATTATGCGCCTTAAACAGACAGATACCTTCTACTTTAAAACTTTTTCCACTTATTCCCACACCCCCCTTCCCATTAAGAAATTTGGCTTCAACGTTCTTTTCTTAATCCACTAAGCAGTCTCATGAATAAAAAGATAATCACATGCCCTGCGTGTCTGATGTCATTTTTGTAAACCTTCTAAAGTGTTGTAATATTCATTTACCACTTTTTGAAAATGATGTTTACTGCACACACTGGGCTACCCTCTTTCCCCAGGGAAAAGAAGCAAAGTTGGTAAAGAGACACAAGAAGTCTAAGTGGACCTTATTTTCGTTTGGGACGTGGCCTGACACTCCGTGGGGGTCAACACGGCACTTCAGCGACGGCTGGCTTGGCCGAGTCCACCTGCCAGCATGTCCTCTCCTGAGGATGCTTGCACTGCTTACGCTGAGGCGGAGAAACACGCTTTTCAAGGTTTCGTTGTTCACGGTGGTCTCCCAAGTTGTATGGTCTCGCCCATTTTTTCCTTATGCTCCCTTTCTTGAGGAACTTGCCTCCCCCTCACAACAGGGTTGGGAGGTCTGAGCTACATCTACCCAGAACTACATCCAGACGCTTGCCATCCCATCCACAAAGCATCCAGGACAGAATCGAGGCAGCTTCATGCGCATCCATCGCAAAGTGAGTTCCCTGGCCTCCTGCAGGGCTTCTTCCAGAAACTGGGGGCAATTTATCCTCTTCCCCTTAGTTGGAGATTTTGAGACTAGCATCCCACAAATCAGTTTTCTCTTTAGGGTGACTCTGAGTGTCCTTCCTTGGTAAGTACTCAGGTTGGTCTCCTCCAGAAACCCTCCCCCGTGTCAGCACAGATATTTAGGCCCAAGCTTAGAAAGGAGAGATGCCCCCTACGTGAGCTGAATTGTCTCCAAACAGAACTGAACTTACTCTCTCCAGAGCGCACTACTGTTCTGGAAGCTCCATGAAGCAAAGAGTCCTCAGAGGAGAGGACCAATGTCTTCTGATTTAACACAAATGGGATAAATAGATCAAAACACACATGAATGATGGTATCTACTGAGCTTTTGGCTCAAGAGGCATAGTTTAGTGCTAGCCGTGTACCAGGCACTGTAAAGGCACGAATGATTCAAAAATGCCTAAGAACAGGACCTCACAGTTGAAACACAAACACATCAATGAGTGATCATAATGGAATGGGTTAACTGCCACCAGACAGCTGAATAACAGAATAAAGCAATCTGGTAGCTAACACACCTGATGCTAAAAAGGGACTAAATAAGATTTCAGTGGCCAATTCTAAGGTATTAAGTTCCTTCCCTTATTATCTCCAGTCAGGTTTCCATTCTTAGAGGAAAATGCAGCTCATATTTTTTCCTTCTTCCAGCTAAAAATACTAGGTAAGCGGCCCAAAGTCAGTTACATAAAAAATTTCATTTCCAGTGTTATCTTTACTCTGACCCAAACAGCCTGTTGCTAAGCTTTGCTATGATCACAGCTGAAAATATTTTCACTTTGGTGAAGAAAATTTTTTCTGACTCAGAAATTCCTGTTTGTGACATTAAAGAACTTAGATCCTGGTGTCAGAATGCCCTTATTTGGGGTGGGGGTGGGGGAGGGAATCATTATCCTATGTAAGGTATTCAATTAAATATCCACAAAAGAAACAAAAATGTGGGGAAAACCCATTTCAAATGCTTATCAAGCAAGTACCTCCATCAAAGCAAAACAAAGAACATGTCAATGGATCCATAATAGAATCAAAGAAGATAGATTTCACATTATCAAATCGTATTTACATGATATAGAAGGTATAGCTACATCAAAGATTTTCAATAGCTATAAAAGGGGGAAAAAAGGATTCTTAGAGAAGCTGTGTATGAGATGATCTCACGGGCTTCCTCCAACAAGAAGTATGGCCAGGAGATGATCGGAAGGGACAGCAACGTTCCAGCCTACAGTCCCCCAGCGCCCTGTCCTCATCCTTATGCTGCTGACCCCAAATAATGACCCGACCCCGCAGCCCTTGCTCACCACCCCTTTCCTAATCTCTATGTGCCTCTTTCCTCTCTCACAGTCTTTAAGAAATGGATTTTTTTACACTAGGGAAAAAACTATTCACGTGATTATATTATTCTCTTCTACTGGACATAACTAAAATCAATTCTTTATTTGATTTCAGTTCAAGATCGTGAGGAGTGGTGCTAAGGCTCTGCAAAAACTACATTCAATATATAGTAACTACTCACTCACTGACAGGGTCTCCATAATAAAAAGACAACAGTAAGATAAGCTCTTATTAACGATTTATCTGACATCCGCATCACTGCACCCCCACCTCCCAAAAACTACATCAGGAAAGTGAGAGAACCGGTAACGTTTCACAGAATGGTAGAACCAAGTTTTGCCCAGTGTTCCAAGGGGGAAAATAAAATATATGAAGGAGAAAAAAGACAAATCAGCAAAGCTTACTTGCAGTAGCCCGTGCCATTGTGGAAGGTGACACACACGCCTTCGTTCACACAAGGTTCATAGCCGTCCCGACACTGCAGGGCTGAAAATGAGAACAGAACATGCGTTAGAAGTGAGTCGCCACACAGAGCCTCAGGCACCAAGAGTGTTAGCTCAGCCAATGCCACATTCCCCTCCCATCTCCATCCCAACTGGCTTTCCCTTAATCAGCTTCTGCCTTTTGGTTTCTGGGGTCATAGACGCATGAAAGCTCATCCCAAGAGTCTCTTTCCACAGTAAGGGTTTGCTGGTCTTAATATTCTTTCTTAGTTTTCTGTGCCTCTACCTCGTTAGTCATTACATCCCAGCGTTACTAAGAAAATCCAAACTATACCATCCACGACAGGTCATGAGCATCTTGGGATTTGGGTGCTTCAGAAGAGTAATATAAGGATCCATCGATAAATATTTAGGGAAACCTGGGCAGATTCTAGGTCACCATGATATATGACTTATTTAAGCCTCCTGGTGGAGTTTCAGAACAAGCCACTTCAAGAACTAATCAGAAACGTTCATTCAGTAAGTTGTAGTTCAGAGGCTACAATGGTCCAGGCACTACACTAAGATCCAGAGGAAATGGAATACCTAAAGAAATGAACAAAACATAGTTTCTAAGGCTCTCACACAAAAATGGGGAGTAGGCCCGTGAACAGAGATTGCACATGAGGGATCAAAGTAAAGAAAGCAAGAATTTTATATACACAGAGGAACAGTAATTCTCAAATGTTTGAACTCCAGTCCTTTTACAGGATGATGAAATGGATTTCACTACTCTAGTTCCTCCCAAAAACAGACCACTCAGAAATAAAGAGCAATACTAGAAACCTTCCCTGATTTCAGCCAAAGCCTGCCATCTCACTTGTTGAATAATTATACCTGCATTGTTTAGCTTTCAGAGTTGGAATTTTCACCACCACAATGTTTATTAAGCCTGAATAACAATTAGAAAGCAAGAAGAAAGAAACCCAGTGAAACAATAAAAATCAAAATAGAAATTCATGAACATTTTCTGGAACATGAGTAGATGTTCCATCTCCTAGGTTGGCTCATATATAAATACCTGAAAGTAAAACAGAGAAGTTCCCACCTTTGTATTTCCTCTTGCCGCATGGCTTTATGAATAAACGGTAGTATCCGGGCCCTAGGCCTGCCTTTCCTGGCCACGAAAGCCAGCTTCTTGACAAGGAAATGGAAAGGCATCCCTTGCTCATGGATTGGAAGAAATAGCATTGTTAAAATGGCCACCGAAAGCAATATATAAATTCAGTGTAACCCCTATGAAAGTTTCTTTTTTTTTTAAATAAGATTTATTTATTCATTTATACATGCACTGGGTACAGTCAGAGGTGTGGGAGGGTGAGAGAATTCACCAGAGCCAGAGCGGGGAGCAGAGCAGGCAGAAGGACCGAAGGACACTGCTCAGGGGGGCGGCGGGCGGCAGGAGAGGTCTGCACACCATGTGGGACCCTCACCCGGCGGCTGGGGATTGAACCGGTGCTGCAGAGGCTGCAGGCAGCTTCGCAGCCCAGCGCTCAACCACTGCGCCACCGGGGAGGCCCCCCTATGAAAGTTTCAATGGTGTTCTTCAAAGAAATAGAACAAACATTACTAAAATGTATATGCAACTACCAAAGACCCAAACAGCCAAAGCAATCCTGACGAAAAAAGAAGTTGGCACTATCACACCCTCAGACGTCAAACTCCAAAGTTGCAGAAATCGAGACAGTATGGGACTGGAGGGAAAGAGACGCATGGATCAATGGAGTAAGCGGAGAACCTAGAAATAAACTCACACTCATATGGGCTAATTTATGCAAAGGAGCAAGTGTATATAATGGAGAAAAAAGTTTCATGAACAAATGGTGTTGGGAAAACTGGACACGTGATAGAACGCAAATGGGCCACGACCAGAAGCTAACATACACCAAAACTTACTCAAAGTGGATTCAAGACCTGGATGTAAGAGCTGAAGCAACCAAATACAGACAAGAAAATGCAGGCTCCACCCTGCACTAGAGATGGGTTTATGGAAGTGGTTCCTAGTAGCAAAGGTAACAAAAGCAAAAATAAACAAATGGGACTCGCAGAACTGAAAAGCTCCTGCAGAGCAAAAGAAACTTATTAAAATGAAAACACACCCTGCTGAAGGGGAGAGAGTATCTGCACATTATACATGCAACAGGCGTTCATATCTGACACCTAATGCAAGGAACTCACACAACTCTACAAAAAGAAGGAATCCAATCCCAAAATGGGCAGAAGATCTAAATTGATGCTTCCTCAAAGACGACATGGAATGGCCAACAGGCCCAAGAAAAAATGCTCGTCGTCACTTATCAAACAGGGAAAATGTCGTCGATCAAAACCACAAGGTACCACCCCGCACCGCGGGAATGGCGCACAGCAACGAGTGTTGGTGAGGGACGAAAAGGAAGCTGCCTATAATGTTGGTAGGAGGGTAGACTGATCCAGTCCCTATGGAAACCAGGATGGAGAGTCCGCAAAAGAGTGAAAAATCAATCTACCATACAAAATACTGATTTGCAAAGAAACACTAATATGATTTAAAGGGATACATGCAGGTTTATGTTCACTGCAGCACTCCTTACAGGTGCGGAGCTAAGGCAAGAACCTAAATGCCCATGACAGATGAGTGGCTCAAGAAGGTGTGAGAAACACACCAAGGAAACTGCTCAGCTATTAAAAAAGATAAAATCTTACCATTCACAACCGGAGGATGTTATGCTAAGCGGAACAGGTGGGAATGATGCTAATTGAAGTAAGTCAGAAAACAAACACTGAGTGATTTCACTCATATGTGGAATACAGAGAAACAAAACAAAGAAACAGTCAAAACTAAACCAAAACAAGCCTAGAAATCTGACTGTAAAACCGAGGTTACCGGAGGGGGAGGGCGGAGGTGGAGACAACAGGATGGGGAAGCGGCTGACTGGACTGTGGTGGACACGTGTGGTAGTATACACCCCAGGATGTGTGACCCGATACCCTAATTTAACACTAAATAAGTTTAATAAGAAAGAAATCAATTGCAGACAAGCCACAGAATACTAGGGGGTCGGGCGCAAGCTGGGGGACTGGCACTGTTACCAAGTGATGGAGTCATGTGAGAACATGTTGATGGAAATCTCCCACCGCCACCAACACCATCATGTAAGCGCAGCCAACACACAGCACGTTCTAAATACCAGGTCCTGCTCTAAGCACCTGACACAAGCTGCTTCAGCCCCCCGAGGACCCTAGGAAGGCGGTCACGCCTTCTATACGCAAGGGCATGAGAGCTGCCCACGGTCTCACCGGGCGTGAACCGTAGAACCTGACCTGGTGAGGCTGGGAGCCCAGGTGCGGCCTCTTAGCTGCACAGATAACTGTTCCCACCACCTGAAATTTCCCTTTTCTGGATGGGCTGGGTGAGGATTACTGTCCTTCCACACCCAGAAAGCAAAGGCCACGGTTAAATGGCTCCCTCCCGGGGCATTAGCGTATGCTGCGGCCGCACAGGCCTGGGACCTGAGGCCTGCGGCGTCCAGCCCCGCTCCCCAAAGGCTGCTGGGATGGCACCAGCAGTCGCCGGGCCGGCTCGGGAAGAGTGTCATCTTGTCCACATCCCACTTCCCTGTAGAGCTCCAGCGCTCCCTCTTCCCACACCGATAAGCCCAATGCGACGACTATAATTAAAACAGATACTGTCAGGTTATTTCCTCCATACTAAAGTTCTCAAACTGATTTTTTCATTCTCTTTAGACATTTTTATTAGTTTCAATGACAACTTCCTGACTTTCTTCTATTTGCTTTTTCCCTTTTTAAAAAAGAGGACAAGGAATGTCCCGCAGGCAGGGAGGCAAGCTGCAGCCGGGTCCTCCCCTGCAGGAGCCCCGGGTGCTGAGGAGCCAGGACTCCCAGGACGCCCACCCGTGCCGGCCAGCAAGCCTGACCCCGGGCAGGTGCAGCGGGAACCTAACAGGGGGTGCACCGTGAGCCGACAGCGACACCTCCCGCACTCACACTACGTGTATTACAAGCCTGCTACCTACAGAGCTCTATCAGAAGAGCGTAAGGAAGGACCCAGCCACCCATGACTCAGAGAGCCAGGCGTGTGGAAAAAAAAAATATCAGTCTATTCCTATCAAGCACCCTGGCAAATCATTACAGTGACAGGTTCAGAGAAATACAAACAACTCAGAGTCAATATGTGGCAATCAATCTAGCAAATAACTCTCTGCCTCACCTCAGTGAGCCAATCAAATGCAGGCACTGAAAAGGAGGTGGGCTTACGGGGCTAATAATTAAGGATTTGGCTGATCCCTAAGGTCACGCTACCTTGAACCTTTAACATTTACTGAGTCGCAGTTCTCAAATGTTAGCTTGCATTACAATCGCCCGACCAGCTCGCCGAGACACGGATTGTCACAGCCCACCCCCCAGTTTCGGGCTGAATAGATCCCACAAGAAGCCTGGGAATCTGCATTCCTCGCAAGCACCCAGGTGACGCTGCTGCATCTGGTCTGAGCAGCCACACGGGTCAAATAACTACAGCCTAAGGTGTGAGCCTCCACCTGAGGACCCCCTCCCAGGCCACAAACCCCCCACTACAGGTCTTGAAGGAGCCAGATAATATATTGCTGAATAAACAAAAGAAAAATAAAGCAAAATTTGAGGCTCAGGACTTTGCTCAGGGCCTACTGCAAACTGCACACTGGAATTATCTGCCATAAAAGAAGTTCTTTAGTTTAAAAGAAGTTAAAACTTTGATAAATCCAAACCATGCCAGCAGACCTTGTGGAAAAGACTCATTTCAACATTCAGCTGACTTTTTTCCCCAATGTAGAAAGAACACTTACACATTTAACAATGAAACTGAAAGCTGCTTTGTATTCATCAAATAAAGAATGAAATGCTCACTCCTGCCACCGGTAGAAAACTGAGATTTAAAATGATGTTTTAATAGACTGAGAGAAGCCAGTCACTCACCAAAAAAAATGGCTTTTTCCCAAAGTTTCATCTTTAGCCACAAATAGCAGTTAC